ACTTAAAAATGAGGACAATAGAAGCAATCAAACCAACAAAAGAGCAGCAATATATAAGTGCTGTGACAAGTCCCGGTTAGTCTATCACGTAGCAAGGTTATATATATATATATATATATATATATCAAAATAAAACAAGTAGTTAGAACAGAAGAAGAATAGAGAGTGCAAGTGTTAGTGAGTCAGGTGTAGATTTTTATACTTTATTCAGCAGTTTTATTTTATTAGTCCCTGCCAAAACTTACCTAAATACCTAAAATATTCATCCAGGCCACTCCAGAAGTTTCGCTCAATGAAGCCCTTGACCAGTCCCCATGGCTGCTTCCTGTAGCGTAGTTCAGCTGATACCCTTTTAGATTCATAAGAAAAAACAGCATTTTATCCTTACATGCTATAAATGTTGTTGTATAGCACAGAGCATTACACATTATAATGATATTTATTGGATTAAAGATAGAATAAAGAATGAATAAATACAGAGCACAAGCTTTACCTCAGGCGGCACTTGTTCTTGGCGACTCTGGTGAGCATGTAGCGGTTGAGCGTGTAAAAGTAATCGTGATATGGGACATCGTGAGCAATCACCTCAGCGTCGATGATGTAGCACTCGCTCACTTGACTGGCCTTGTGCAGAGTCTGGAAGAAAAACAAAGAAACAGCTTTTCACAGCGTAATCAAAAGACAAAACTACATGAAACACGTCCCGTATACTGTATGTGGCTTGTTTATCTGCTCTGGTGAGCTCACCTGCGTCTCTGTGACTGTGGCCGTCTTTGGGGCCAGTGGATTGGAGAGGGAGATGGTGTACATGATCTCTCTGGTCTGATTACCAGTGTACTCTTTCTTCCACGGGTGATAGACCACATCTGAAAAGAGGAAAAAAAGGTGAAATCAATAACAGACAGATATAAGCAGAAAGACAGACAGACAAATAGATAGACAGTTGGATAAAGACTGTTAGATATATGATTGTTACGTGATAGATAGACAGACAGATAGATAGATAGATAGATAGATAGATAGATAGATAGACCATAATGGTCAACCTGAAAAGCGTCTCTGCTCCAGAAACTCTCTCATGAACTGGGATTCAGTGAAGAGGATGTCATACATTTTATCCACACTGAACTTATACACTTCATTAATGTACAGTTTCCCATTCAGATCTTCCTGGAAGGCCTGCACTTCCCCTGCTGAGAACACAGAAACAGGAAGAGTCCGTGTGTCAGACCAGATGTGGTGCAGTATATAGAAATGGTAAAAATCCGTTTTTGAGAGAGCGTACACACCCTCATCATGTGTTTCTGACGAGTCGCTGAGTTCAGTGGGAAGGTCCTCATTGTCGTTGAAGTCAAGGGAGGGTGAGGGGGTGGGGACATGGGCGGAGCCACTAGTCTCTGGCAGCTTGTTGTCAGGTAATGGCAGGGGTAGGAGGTCTTCAGGGACACAGCCACTAAAGTCCTCCACTGGGGGCACGTCAAACTACACAGAGAGAAAGAATATCAATCACTCAAAACATGCGTAGCGTTTGCCATCCTAACATTATGGTGTAGTGGTCAGGTATGGCAACATTAAACCATTAATGTCATACAAACTACTATTCCCACAGTAACGCAGTGATATGTTGTGTGAAGGGATCTGGTGCTTACGTTGACCGGAGCGTCTGTGCTGTCTGTGGAATTCAGACTGCTGTTGGGGAAAACCCTCCTGTGGAGCTGGGGGCTGATGTCCATTTTGGCATCTGGGGTTTTGGGGCAGTTGTCATTGGCCTCGTTTTCTTCAGCGGGAATCTCCTCACAGTACCTGCACCAGGGAGAAGGGCAACAGCTGCAGGTCAAGATTACCAGCTCGGGCAGAAGAATAGACCCTCTCCCACAGATAGCAATGGGATGGACCGATGGATAGTGGGTGAAAAGGAGATATGAAGATGTCTACAACAAATTAATGATCATCTGAATATTGGATGCACCAAGTTTGACTAGGTATATCTGATTGGGTACTTTTGATTTGCTGATTTTGATGGTGTTTTTAATTTATTGAATCGAGAGTGGCTAAATATATGTTTTAAAACAAGTCTCTTATGCTCTCCAAGGCTGCATTTATTTAATCAAAAATACAGTAAAAACAGTAATATTGTGAAATATTATTACAATTTAAAATAACAGTTTTCTATTTTAATATATTCAAAAATGTAATTTATTTCTGTGGTGCAAAGCTGAATTTTCAGCATCATTACTCCAGTCTTCAGTGTCACATGAAAATGTAGAAATCTCTTAAATTACGAATTAACATCTGTTTTCTGGACCTCTTCTAACAAAGCTGTGAGACAGGGTGGAGATTTGTAAATTATGAATTGCCTAAATGGTTGAACATTCATGACGGGGGAAAACTCACCCCATGGTGTTGAAGTCGTCATCAGGAGGTACATAATCCTCATCATCACTGGTCAGACCCAGTTCATTCCCATAACACTGATGGACAAAGTGCCACAGCTCTTTGGGACACAATGGCTAAATAAAAACAAGAGACACGGTGGGTGAACATGGCAACCAAGCATTTGTTTTCAACAGATCACTGGATATAATGCCATGTCTTGTCCAACCTTTTCCAGTAGAGCATTTTGCCAGAGTCTGAACATCATCATGTACGTCCGATCTCTTGCCCCGAATGAGGTAAAAAAGTGCTGGAGGAGAACATGTAGATGTTTAGTGTTGGTACACTACTGGTGTTATGCAAAAGTCAAAGGCCTGTGTTTACCTTTTCACTGTCTGTGCACAGCTGGATGGCATTGGGGATGAGTCTAGCAGTCTTCTCTTTCGTCATGGAGCAAACATCTTTCAACTTCACAGTCAGCTACACACACAAGACACCACAAACTCAACAAACCAGCAGAAGCCACATCTCAACACAGCATGTTCACTATATCTTCAAAAAAAAGGCAGAAATGTGATTTTCGTGCAAAATTAGCTGCTTCCCCTCACACAGCTTTCTGTTTCAATGGTTCAAGAATATGGCATGAGAGACTGATTCCCTCTAAGATGAGAGTAATTCATCAACTCACCAGCGTTTCCCAGCGGAATATGTTGCTATAGAAACAGATCCAGTTTTCAGAGAGGTAGAGGCGACCCTGCAGGAGGATATCTCTCTGCAGGGCACAGGAGTAGTCTGTCAGGATAAGGCGAGAGGTCAGAGGTCATGGATGTTAGGATACAGCAGCCCCTTTCATACATATTTTTTTACATATTGTTTCCAATCACACACAAAAAATATAATAGGCTATCACTAGTGGATCTCAATTTTTTATAAAAGTTGTGAAAATTTTAATACCTATTATACCGTAGCATAAAGATCAAATATAAGACTCACCCACAATGAGGCGCTCTGTGTCAGGCAGCTGCTTAAAGAGCTTCCTGAAGTCTTCATTTCGCTGTTTGTATGTGGGACTCAAAACCTGAATGACAAGAGGAGAGAGAGAATGAGACCAGCTATGTACAGTACACATAAACACACATACAGCCACAAACATCCAAACAGAGACAGTCAAAACATTCAGCATTTCCGAGAGGGTACAAAGAAGACAAACTGTAAAGGATCATTATACAAAACGGGTGCCATTTGTGTCCCCCATATACAACATAAAAAAAGTTTTTACAAAAAATATATATTTTCAATGCTCTGTTGGCTTCATTATCTACGCCAATGTACTGAATAAGCACTTCAGTTCCTCTGCAGGCCAGTCCTGACTGAAACCACAAACAGTTTGGAAGATGCTCATGATCTAACATAACCAAAGCTAAACAAGAGGAGGGAGATAACTGTCTACTCTTCTCCTCTCTGATTGGTTGCTTACAGCAGGAACACTCTCAGAATCCCAGTCCCAGTCCGTCCAATCACACAGGGGCACTTCGGGTTGTTGGACCGCCTCCCAGTCGTAGAGCCAATCAGACTCAGCCTCAAAACTGAGGACTTCCATCGCTCCTGTCTAGTTGTGGAGACGTTGCCACTTATTGTCTCAGCTCCTGACAGTGGTGCAATGCTTCAGCATGTGCGCTGAGCTCCAGTGCAGCTTCACCAGGCCACGTTCTGAAATGACCTGGAGTAACCTCTGCAACTGTACTTTGGCATTACCTATTTTGTTGTTTAAGTGAGTCTCAGCACCTAAACACCAGCCAAACAATCTTCCACATGCAGCAGGAAAAATCCTCACACTGAAAGACACACATCGCCCTTGACAATGAAAATGGAGCACGTTTTCCTCAGGAAATGAGTCAAATTTTTAACAAGACACAGAGGACAGTTAGTGGTAACATGTAGTGATGTTCGTCCTTTGGAAGTGATCACTTGATGCTCTCAGAATGGAAATGTTCCTTGCAGCTGCTCTCTTCTTGTTTTAGGGTTTACACCTGCTGATCCACCAAATTTACAAAATACAAGAAGCAGTTCCAGATCCAGCCAATAACTGAGGAACGTTGCCACTTTACAATGTTTCAGATACAAATGGTTCATGAAGGTTTTCCATTCCGGTTATCTAATAGTAACATTTGCATGGTGAGAAAAAATTTATTCTGGCAAGAAAAACTAAATTGTGACACTGTTATCCTAGAAATATCCAGAGGCAAACATCAGCTTACACAAATCCAAAAACAGAAAAGTGTTTGACTGCTTGAGGAAACAACCACCTGCTTCGGGGGAAAAAAAAACACTTTCTCTTCAGACAAAAAATATTTTTTCTTTCAAAATTCTTTCTTCAGCATGCATATTCAAAATTGCACGCATTAATATCCTTGCAAGCCAAGATGCGTTCATCTGCTGTGAGTCGCTTTTCAGTAAATTTCTTCCCAGAGGATGCAAAATTTGTCTCATTAAATCTCACAGAAAGACCAACTTGAGCTGAAGCAACCCTTTACTATAGCAGGAAAGAGTTCTCACTGAGACTTTCTACAAAACAATTGTGCCAAAAGGAGTGGGAGTGGCCTGAGAGAATGTTTGTGTGTGAGAAACAGGGAGGGGGAGGAGCTAGGGAAGACAGCTGGCCAATAGAATGCCAAGGAGAAGAGAGAGGAGGGGCCGTGTCAAGATGTAGTAAGCTCTTTGCTTCAGGCTGTACATTTTTCTCACTCATGATCGAAGAGCTGTGAGATTTATATGCTTCTCCTAGGACTGTCATTACACCCCTCCCAATCCCAGGCCAACCTAGATTTCATGTCTCTCCAGAAATGTTGCAAAAACACCATTTATACTGCAGTGATAGCTGCTGTTGTCAGTTTCCTGAAGACCCTGAGGCGCTTAATGCCTGAACAAGACACTTCAGCTTCCACAAATGTTTTCATTTCATTACAAAACCCCCAAAAAATAGCATGAAAAGCAGAAGTTTTTTGGCTTCATGAGGTGGGAGTAAGATCAAAACAGTGGGAGGTGGAGGAAAATATAGGATGGAGAGATAAAGAAAGTTTGAGAGAGAATCACAGAGGCCCCCATTGTGCACAAGTCATTTTATGGTGTTAGTGTTTAGGCGCAGCCAAGGACAACGCCTCAGTCTTCCTTCTCTCCCTCATACTCGCACTCTCACGGGGTGAACGAACTCTAGTTAACTTCCTGCGTTAGAGGAAGGGGGGACGTTGAAAGGATGCCAAATGGGTGAATCATCTCTCTTTCTGGCCTCTCCTTCAATCCCCTCTCAAGCAAAACATCTCAGGCCGCTACTGAGGCAGACTCATTGTTCAGCTCAGGAGCAAGACACTCAGTAGAATCATCTCATTGCATTTGTTTTGGAAGCTCTAAGAAAGTCCCTTATTTGAGCAACTATGTTGGGTTGTCACTTGATGCCAAATGTCAAGTCTGGGTCAAATTGGTATTTCATTTGAGATAGTTACCAAAATCTAACCAGGTGTGGTCATTGGAGAAGAAAGAGGATGAGTCCTGTTCTTCTCAAGATTTTTTCTCTGCTGGCTTAACGTCATATGGAGTATTTTTTTTCCTTGCCAGAGTTGCTCTTCGCTTGTTCACTCAGGGTTTGAAGGCCTAATGCATCATTTTCTGTAAAGGTGCTTTGAAACGTAATGGATTGTAAAATGCTCTATACAAATAAAAATGACTTGACCCTCCCCGCGAACACATGGGATGTGATTATTTACAGTCCTGTGGCGAAAATGCTTTTTCTTCACTGACGCCCAACTGGATTGGATGTCAGAAGAGTGTTTACAGTTGACATCTTACAGCTTGTGTCCGTCTCATCAGTCCACCCAGGAAAAACAAAAATGAGCAAAGTTTAATATTTTCTAGTGCTGGGCGGTATGACCAAAAATTTATATCACGGTATTTTTCAAAATTATACCGGTTTCACGGTACATGACGGTATTTTTTTTTCATGCATGACCGTGTGTTAACCATATTTTTTACTGATTGAGAGAGGAAATACTGCAGTACATTGATTTAGAATGCCCTATTTTACTGTCATGATGAGTGAATATTGTCAAATAATAACACACTATAGTGACACGACCCATTTTAATACATGTTAACCAGGAGTCACTCTCCTTTATAATCGCGGCATCGTCTGATAAAATCAACATGCATCTACACTAAAGAGCGGCTATGCGGTTGTTTTGGCTATATTACTTTTTTGTCTCATGCAGCGCACTGCCTGCGTCTGAGTAACAAACTAAAAAAAAAAAAGTGCATGTGATATTAACAGACGAACTACGCTCATATTTATAATTCCAAACAATCAGTAAGCGACAGGTGCTAGGAAACGCTGTTTTGTACTCATTTATTGACGAGTCAGCTGCGGTGCGGCCAACTGAATGCGCTGCTTCTCTGCCGCTCACTGCACAGAACAGACGCCGAGAGAGGTGACACTTCTCCGGGAAAGTCAGACCTCGCGTTCGCGGGACAGCACTGGCGAAATCTTCCAACTGAACCATA